ACTTGAATTCTGGGGTGCCATTCAATATTTCACTGATCTTGACAATTATCATCCATTCAGGGAACTGGCTGCCTACTGCATCACTTGTCTACTTTGACTTTGACCTGTCTCCAAAGCATTCGTGGTGCAAGTGTTTTCACAAGTCACCTCTGTGAAAAACAAGCAACGGAATAAAATTTCAACTACGGTACTGGAGTCCCTTATTCGGACCAAAAGCTATCTGCTCAACCGCAACAATTTAATAAAGATGACAGAGTCGGTAGAACTTGAGCACGTCTGTGAGCTCGTATTACTGGTCACAGGTTCACTAATGAAAACTGATGAAATCGATTTTGTTGCAGGCAAATATTGAATGCAGCTAAACGCGACTAACTTTGCCTGCAAAGCTGTCGACATTCGCGGAGGAATCGGGTGGACAGTCAAGTACTCATTCCACGGCACTTACTGCAATGATATCGAGTGCAGGAGTGATATCGGGTGACCTGATATGCTGTCAAATTTCTGCTCATTGCACTACACGAGGATTGTCAATAAAGGTACACGAGGATTGTCAATAAAGGTGAGAAATCAAATGGACGCCCAAGTTTGCATCTCTACTTCATGATGAAGGAACTTTTTCAGCTCTACTAGACAGTTTCGGTACGCGCAGCGTGGGAATGCTGTCACATTGATATCCGACCTAACTAGGGTGCTTCATACTCGTACATGTTCAAAGACGGCGCTATCTTCAAGGCACTAACTATACAGATGTCAGAGAACGAATTATCGCAGGTAGCATTTTGTGAGGCACAAGTTCGTCTAAGGTCTTTGTCTGCTCTAGTCAATTTTGATGTCAATAAATGGCAATATGGATGTGAAGACGAATCAAAGATACAATATTTCATTTATAGAAATCTTATTTAGGGCAAATGATAAGATATTTCTATCAATTTGAAATCAGCATTACTTGATGTTTTCTTCTATTTCTTAGTATTATTTGAACATCATTTTGATCGAAGTATGATTTGAAGTATGAATTTCCTTTATGTACTAAATTTATTCATAGAATTTCATGTCATATATTTACATAGAAGTGTTTTCTTACTTACCTTCAACTTCAACTTACTTACTTCTTCAGGGGAGTCAGCCAGTGCATCTACCCAACTGCTGTGCCACTAGTCAACTGCTGTGCCACTAGTCAACTGCTGTGCCAATAGTCAACTGCTGTGCCAATAGTCAACTGCTGTGCCAATAGTCAACTGCTGTGCCAATAGTCAACTGCTGTGCCACTAGTCAACTGCTGTGCCACTAGTCAACTGCTGTGCCACTAGTCAACTGCTGTGCCACTAGTCAACTGCCACTAGTCAACTGCTGTGCCACTAGTCAACTGCTGTGCCACTAGTCAACTGCTGTGCCACTAGTCAACTGCCTGTCTCTTATACACATCTAGATGTGTATAAGAGACAGATATAAGATAATGTTATCCTCTAGCTTGTGTCGTTGTAAAAACCAGGAATTAGCTTGTACGTGTATTTTAAAAATAATAGAAGGATTATATTAACGTACCTAATCATGTTTTGTTCTTATATATAGTTGTCGACTGCTTAAACTCCATGTGTAAGGCTTTACGTTTTACCCAAAAAATGTTATGTAGTTTATATGCACTTAAGGTTCTAATAAACGGCCCGAACATGTAAATCGTTTATTTCTGTCAAAATTTGATATACTTGTTCCTAATTACTATCTCAGAATGACTGCATTAAAATTAGTTTTCTAGTTTAGTCGGCGTACGTTGTTATATAATTCCCCATGCCCTCCACAATTACTATATATAGCTCCACAAAGTAAGGGAGCTATATATATAGTGGAGGGCGTGGGGATTTTTTTGCTCGAAATTCACGTTCGGCCACCTTTGGCCGGCGGGAATTTTACGCAGCGATCCCGCCAATCGCGGCAACCACCTTCGCGATAGCGCGGAAGCTGGCACTGCCTGCCGGCCTGGTCGCTCGCGGTAGGACAGACTGACTGCGGCAGCAGGCCCTTTCCAGGCCGAGAAGCTCTGCCGCAATATTGCGCTGCTGTGGACATTCCTGCGCTGTTGACCACCCTGGCGTTGCGCTGGGGCGAGCGTTGGTGCAGGCAAGTTCACCCGCGGCTGGCTTCCAGACTGCGGCGATTTCTGACTGGGTAGGCGGCGTATTTTTTCTTGAACAAAAAAAATAATATATGATAATTTAATAAAATAAACAAATAGAAAAAAGATTCGAGCAAATTTGTTATTTTTTAGTGTGAATACATGAATAAATTAGATTGAATTGCGCATGATTCTGTTTGAGATGCATGACTAAAACAGACGTGGAATAACGTTCGATGTGGGGTTCTATATAATTACAATTGCAGCTGTGAATGAGACGGAACAGTTGTTTTAATGCATAAACTCCAGCATCATCTGCTCATTCCTGTAGCAACACATGCGTCGGCTTTAGATCAAGGTTGCGTTTTGTTCGGTTTGGTTGTGTTAAGTGGTCGCTTGTAGTGGATAGTCGAGCTGCGGTAAAGAATATATTTGGTCGCTAGTGTGTTCCCCACCGACAGTAAAATTGTGTTTTGAGGCTTTGTGACTGGATATAAATAGAGGATTAATATAGAGAGTGCGACACAAAAACGTTCAACGAGTCATCAAATGATTGTGTCTCCGTTCCAATTAACATAATTTTACTCTAATTAATTTGTTCCAATTTAGAATACATTTTTGTGAAAAACATACATTGTGTGTGAAATTGACTTGAGTTTGTTAATTTAAAGCGGCGATGTAATCAATCAAAAAGTCGGTACTTTTTAGCGCATTTTCTCATTTATGGAAAAATGCACTATTGTGCTCGCCATATCCGTCTGTCTGTCCGTCCGTCCGTCCGTCCGTCTGTGACCTCAAGTTTTCGTCGACGAGAAAATGCGCTCTCTGTCACTCACTGCAGTGAGTACTGAATTATATATTTTTTTGGGATGAATCCAGTTTACCGTAGTTGTGTACCATCTGAAATTAACAGTACAGTTTATAAGAAAAGTGGAGTTTGCTGTCGTTTTAATAGATTTCTTTGGAAATTTGTGTTCACTGTATATCGCACCACAGCCTCATTGGCTCGGGCTTCACAATTACGGAGATTTTAAGAGATGAAATCTTCAGGTTCCACAATATATTTTTTATAATTTATTTTTCTTTTGTATAAAATTGTGAACTATTAAAAACACTCGCAGTTTTTTTTCACGAAGTTCATGACTTTTCATTAAAGTTTCACATTGACTTTTTGAGTGTGGGTAAATAATTATGCTAAAAAATCCGGTTTACTTATATTGGAGCCAAACGATAATCTGGACCATGAGCTATTTTACTCGAGCACGAATACGTTACTTCAATTTTTTTGGCGGGTATTTTTCAAACTTATTCTCGCGTCTCTTAATATCTCTAGACATGAAAATTACATACTAACACCCTCTTCTCTTACTCGACTGTAAACTTGTTACTCCTTTATTTAACATTTTTCTAAAAGTCTCTTTAATATCTCTGGACATAAAAGTTGATCTCTAATACCGTCTCTTCTCACGATCGGTTGTCATAAAACCGCTCTGGGTACATTTTTCGCGCATCACGTAGAGGTATAACAGCTAAGTAATGATTAAATATCGTGCACTTATGAAACGCCAGAAGAGAATTCCATGCTTTTTCGGCGTAGAAGTGAGCGTAGCATGCGGTGCAATATCTCTGCACAGTCCTTTCTACAGCTTATAAAAAGAAATGAAAAGAAATCTGGTTGATGGTCTTCACAGCGCGTCCATTCACGGATGTTATGACGAAATTATTAAGAATGGGAAATTATTTTGCAATCAACTGTAGTTTTAAATGAGCACGAGAATATTAGTTAAAATCCAGAAACATACATGTTATAACAAGAGTGCAAAGTCATCGAATATTACGATCTATTATTTCCGTGACGCCATGCGTATTCTCCTCATGGGAAACTGAAAGAAATTAAGCCAAAGAAAGATACCATTTCCCAAAGATCCAGGCATGAGCTGAAATAAATTCATGCCATGCGAGGAAGAATGTGAATTCATTATGCGATGTTACGCAGAGGTTTCATAGCGATCACTCTCGCTGGTGGCCTAAAATAATAAGTGGAGGCAGTTGGCGTAACCATGTGTCACGGTGGGTGCCTTAGAAAGTGCGATGCTATAGAGTTATGCCATGCAAGCTGTTTCCTGTCACGCTCCTTCACAAAGGGTAAAATTCGCCTCATTTTAGCGGGAAACTTGACAGCTGTAGCATGTCTCCCCTCCGAGTCCCATATTGTGGTACCGAATGTATTCAGAGAAATAAATTCCAGGAGTTTCATTATAAATATATGGGAGTTGTATAGTTGTATTTCAAGTGTTGTTTTTCTGCTCTTTTCTATAGGAATGAGGTTTATTATGAATTTTTTCAGTCTGAGTGTCATCAATATAAGTTTTTGATTTAAAATATATTACACTAAGTTTTCGTCAACAAATATTTAATTAGGAGAAGTGTTTCGTGGCTCTCATATGGAACAATATTCTGGGTGCTTGAGTCCTGACTAACGGCATTTGCCTCCCCCATTGAAGTGTATTTCAACGGAATATTATCATTCGTGTGAGAGATAAACCAACTATAAGATGGGTAATGAAGATTGGCGGCATTATTTTTGCTCTTCATTTGTTATGTTCCGTGAGAGTGAGATGATAACAAATATTGACTTGATACAAGAGAAGGTGAACCGTCATGTCGGAGATTAAAATTAACTGTAGTACAATTAATGCGTGAGAGAATGAATAATATTTCTTTAAAGTCAATAAACTTGTACTTTAAATTGTTTTAAATCTTCATTTATACCAAATTCACTTGAACATAGGTCCTAAAAAATATACACAACGCATTCAACAAAAACACGTTCAATTGAATATTTTAATTATATGATGAACAATCTTGCATGAATAATGCTTTTCATCTCAATTTACTCATAATTAAGTTGACCTTCCGTTATAGACAATATCCGATCCAGCAAGCCATAAAAGCATTTGCACTGAGCATTGAGACATTTTGTGCTTACGAAATATAATAAATAATAAAACATAATACATAAAACTATCTTGCCTACGCATCAGGCCGACTTGAAATCATGAAGCTGGTGAGTGATTTAAGTGCCTGAAATATATTGCAGCGCATGTAATACATTCGTTTAACCGGAAAAATGCCGGAATAACCTCGTGATGTTGATCATAAATGCGATGGCTAAGCATTAATTATTTATTAGCATATGCAATATTGCTAAACTCTAATTGTCAGCCTGTTGGTTTAGTCTGTTTAATTTATTCAGTCAAACATTTTAAGTTGAAGAAAAGAAAATGGCTCAAGCGATTTTTCTTTCAACGGTTTAGCAAAAAGGAATACAGATTATATTAAAATATGAGTATTTTACTGAGCAAATGTTTTGCATTAATCTCAACGTAGAACTAACTGAGGCCTTTTTTTTAATTTGATCCTAACTCTCATCTAAAACCCAAAATATGTTGACATACTCGTAATACGGCCGCGTTTCTTCACGCAGCTGAGATATTCTTATCAATATTCTTATGGCCTGTGACATAACTGGCATGTTTATCCACGTAGCATATCTCCTCTCGCCAGCAAGTTTTTATCCTGAAGTATAACTTAAACGTCTATCCTATCAGCGCAACTCCCCAAGCCACCAATCCTTTACTCTGAAATATTTCTGTTGCATTTATCCTCGCAGCACAACTCCCCAAGCCACCAATCCTTTACTCTGAAATATTTCTGTCGCATTTATCCTCGCAGCACAACTCCCCAACTTCCAAGCTACCAATCCTTCACTCTGAAATATTTCTGTCGCATTTGTCCTCGCAGCACAACTCCCCAAGCTACCAATCCTTTGCTCTGAAATATTTCTGTCGCATTTGTCCTCGCAGCACAACTCTCCTCGTCATCAATCAGTGTTGTTGCTGCTGCTGTTGGGCGCGTTCGTTCATCTCTCATTCGAAGTGCAGCAATCGCAGCTCGTGTCCCAGCCTGTATTCCGGTAAGATTCCAGTATTCTCATGCCGCAGTATTGAGTAGGCACTTAATTATGATGAATAGAAGATTTAGACTACTCGTTCTGAAATCGACGATTCGAGGGGAAATTAGGAATAAATGAATACCTACTGAAATATTCGATACTTCAATGTCCTGAACTCGACTTTAATTCAATTGTCATGGCTGCACTTTGTCAAGTCAGTGAGCGACGGCTGCTCTATCCTATGATCCTGTTCATTACTTGGACTTTATTGGTCGTCTCCAATAGTGGTTCTTATTTTCCATCTTTGTTATATTATTTAACACGCCTCAACAAGCATCAAGCATGTTGCCCTTCCCAGAAAATGTTAACGATTGACCCATAAGGCTACATTAAAACTGTCACCCCATCCTTTACCCCTGAAAAGTTTCATATGGCTCCAAGGAAAAGTAACCCTTATAGTTTCGAAAGCACTAATCGCCCGTGAACGAACGTGGCGTGAAACTGACCATGAGGACGTGCGTGTTGCAGGGGCAGCAGAAGCAGACCAGCGGACCAGACCAGGCAGCAGACCACCGCTGAACGCGAGACCGAGCCCCTCAACCAGCAAACTAAAGTTTGTACATGAAAACAATGTGAGAAATGTCTTTTGTGAGAACTAGTTCCTTGAAGGTTCACATGACGTATTCATTATTTACATACTTATAAACGTAATAATCTATTGAAAACTTCGCAATTACTCCTTCTCATCTTTTTGAATAATAATAAATGACATACTTGACCTTAACAAAAACAGTCGTTTGATTGTGCTTCCTGTAGCATTGAACAGGCCTTAACTTGTATTTGTATTTGGGCAGACTTGTATTTGTAGTATTTTAAATGTTTAGTATACGAAATAATGTATTTTTAAACATTGTATTTTTCCTTCACACACAAAGACTGCTAGCCGAAAGTTGTGCTGTAATTCCTCGTATAGACTATTTCAGACCGAGACCACCGACTGTTTACATCTTGCACGTGTGACCTATGTTTTGGAGCTAGAGCCTGACTGAAGTGACCAAACCGGCCCGGATGGACAGACCAGAGAGACCGCTCACGAGGACGTCGAAGCGGAGACTTAAATGAAGACTCTACCGCCATGCGTCGAGGCGATTTATAATTAATAGACTTCGTTGTTTTTGTAATAGACAAATTTTTCTTGGACAGACAGAAGACAGTCTGGCAGTCTAAGGATTGATTTTGGCGATATACAAACTATCTGTCATGACACATGGGTGAAGGCATACTCCATGTGTCATGGCACAAGGGTCACAGTACACGCCAAGTGTCATGGCACATGGGTCACAGTATAAACACGTCATGTGTCAAGCCACATGGGTCACATGCAGTACAAAGCATGTGTCAAGGCACATGGATCGCAGTACACGCCATGCGACATGACACACGTGATTATGACACCCACAGCGACAGTTAGGTCCATGTTATCTACAATTAAGTACTAATTTAGATGTTCTCATAATGACTATCGTAACTGACTACTAGGCGAGTAAAATACAGCTTCAATGAAGACGAATCAGTCTTTTTGCTCACACAATCGTGTGTTAACTCATTGTCTTCGTTAAAGCGAATAATTAGCAAATTGAGAGTAACTGAATAAGTATTAACAAGGACTTTGTGACGCTTGGATACGAATGAACTTACAATGTATTGCTGTTGCTCGTATTAAAATGCCTGTACATTTTGTTCCGTTGCATTAACATCTTTCATTAAACATTGAACATCAGCCAGCGAAGGGACGGTCGACGTCTCAAGATACCTTTAGCCCCATGTCTCCTTCCCCCGCTCTGGGTCCCATCCAGGATTCAAGGCAGACGCACTCAATTCCTCAAGGTGTGAATGGTGAAAATATTGAAAACCGTTTATTTATTTATACATAATAATACCACTACCTCGATCTGATTCCAAATATTGTTCGGTGGCCGTGAGATCGATGACCGTTTTCTCGTCATTTTTTTGCTGAATTTTTTTTTCACGCTGTGTAAATGAAGAGCTGTTGAGCGTAATGTTTTTTTTCGGACAGTCTTTGCAGTAAAATTTTCCAAGTTGCATATTTAGCAAAGGGTTATCTCCGTAAATAATATGATTCATAATATAACAATAATATTGTAAATAATACCAGACCAAATAAATGCACAGTTAGAGTCTGGAAAGGTCTGGAAAGGTAGTTGAAAGGCATGCACCGTAACCTACCCTTACATTTCGGTACCGTAACCTACCGTACCAAAATTTCAAATAATATGTTAATTTACTTAGAGTTTACTTTGGGTGATTTCTCAAGATCGACGCACCAGCGCCACGGCTCGCACCATCAAACTGGACGGAGGCTTGTCGGCCAACGACTTCCGCTTCCCCTCAGCTGAGGAAGATAAGCAGGACCGCACAAGGGACCACAAGCAAGACCACAAAGATGACTACACCCCAGCCCGCGCCAAGTCTTATCAGCTGCCAGTGCCCAACGAGAGAAACGCCACCAGCAGGTTCTTCTCATTCAACACCAACACCCAGGCGCTGGATGTGAGTGAAGTAATAGGGCGCTGGAAGTGAGTGAAGTAATAGGGCGCTGGATGTGAGTGAAGTAATAGGGCGCTGCGATGTGAGTGAAGTAATAGGGCGCTGGATGTGAGTGAAGTAATAGGGCGCTGGATGTGAGTAATTGGGGGGCGCTCGATGTGCACGCACCCTAATTCCAATTTCTACTGCATTATTCATACCAGAATTCTAGTCTCTCTCACTTTCACTGATTGTCGAAACAATAAATTGGGTGCAGCTCACTGTCTGAGTACTTTTCTCTTTGCATGCCTTGAAGCATGACAGTGATATTGTCACGTTCGTATATCAATTCATATTAATTCGACATCTTTATATAATTTTCCCGATAGATTAATCATATGTAAATTCTTATTAATTCTACATCTTTGTATAATTTTTCCCATTGATTAAAATTTATGTTTTTTTAAATCACGAGACTCACACCCAGTCTTCATTCATTCATTGAATCCTAGTGAGTTTTTTAAAGTAATTCTCTGCGACCTCGTGCCCACACTCTCATGGGCAGCTTGGGTTGAGCTTCACGGTGCCGTTCCTCTCCATCCCAATGTCCTCGCTGCTGAACATCGGGGATAGCACGACGGCGGCGCTGACGTCGCTCTTCTCCTTCAACTGGTCTGCCATCGCAGTGGTGGGCCTCCTTCTGGCCGCTGCCACTCTACTTCTACCCACCATCGTAGAGTGGGTTAGTGGTGTGCTGCTCGTCAAGAACACAATCGCCACACAGTATGGAGGACGAACTCCCGACCATCAGATGTACGGAGGAGTCCCTGAACCGCTTGGAGGATTCCTGGGTGACTCAGCTGACTATTTCTCCAGGAGCATTAAAGGTGAGCATGGTTCTTTATTGCCATTGCATAATGATAGCTGATACGCATGGTGAGTATCGAGGTAACTTTCATACTGGAGCGCTTATTGATTTTTGGTTTACAAGAAGAGTGCCAGAACAGCAAATATTATTCATAATTTAAATAATTTAAAGTGGAGCAAAGACAATATATTAATGTTATTTCCAATGCTCAAATCATTATTAGCATTAGTTTAGTCACTACGACTGGCGGGGAAAGTATATTCGCTTTGCGCGCCTTCATGTGGCTCTTATTCATATTCGTTATTCCCACAAGCCCAAAGTATTGCAAAACGAATAACGTAATAAGATATTACATGTACCTAATAAAACTCATTCGTGTCATCCATTTCCTATCTCATCGATCTCTATGATATTTAAGGCGATCAGCTATCATTCCCGAAATTATATAAAAAGTCTCTCTTGGATCTCTATGTTCTCAAAGAGTTCAACTTGACCAATTTCGCGTCTTTTCTGGATCTCTTAGTTCTCTAAAATTTTAATTCGTAATCATCATTTTCCAACTTGTAATAAGTCTTTATGGATCTCTCAATATTATTAGGTTTGACTCGACCAATCTCAATTCTCCCACTCATTACGTCTTCTTAGATAACTTATTTCTACCAAGATTTAGACTAGAACTTCAGTATTAGTCTGCTTAACTAAGCTATAGTCTCGTTTATATAGTCTCGCCGCTAGCGTCACTGCTGGAGCAGCTGGATGACGCCTTCGCCCAGTACGATCTGGACGCAACGTCGTGCATGCAGCGCGTCGTCTGCACCTACGTCGCTGACGCCGAAGATAGCGTGGCAAGGGGCAGTGCCGACCCCACACAGCTCATCGTCAACGGCGTAGCCAAGTACGATGCGTATTGTCTCATTGTAGCGCACTTATATCAGGTAAATTAACAGAAACATGAATGCATGCGATCCTAAAGTTCGTGAAGAGAATGGAGTCTTGTGAGAAGGTTGGAATGGTCTTGGGACTATTTGCCTAGTAGTGTTTTTTTCCTGGCTAATGAGTACCGATTCATGTGAAAAATTAATTCAGATTATGAATCTATAGTGGCAAAACATTCATACATAAACATGAAAGAAAAATTTGTATTACAAATAGAAAAGAAACACTGGAGTCACACAATGCAGGACGAATAATGATAGAGAATAAAAAGATCAGGGAAGACAATATGTCTCGAAGCTTATATATATAGTTCCGGAGGAGCACCTACATAGCAGTAGGTGCCTCTCCTACTAGCTTGCAGGTGCCCTCTCATTGAAGGCACCTATACTATCAATTTTTATGATAATACACCAACAGGACGGAACATGCCTCATTCAAGTCTTCGTAATGCGTCATCTCTTCATGAATGTTATGATTCGAATCGCAATGGATTGTAAGAGCTGCAAGTCACTAATGCAACAGTAGAAGTGGGCGGGTCTTTCACAATAATTGGAGAATGAGCCATCACAGGCAAATTAGTTTGTGTGTAAACAGCAGCAAGTCTGTTATCTGGGGCACAATCGGCGTACGACAAGTGAATAATATACATGTAACACATTAGAGTCAATGCGAGAAAATATTTAAAATTTGAGCGTATACATTCCTTATTTTCAAGCAGAAAACATTGTCCCGCAAAATAACAGCAAAAATCGATCTGTGATTGTTCGATTGTGCAAGTAAAACCATAGACATTAGTATGAAAAACATATACTAAATTAAAGCCTGAAAACGATGGCCTAAAAACGACGGTGGCCTAATATAACTCATAAAAATTCAAACATTATATACGAGAGTCTATTTTTGCCTCAGTGATTTGTCATAGAATGGCATGAACACCTACAATTGGGACTGAAATTTGTGCTCGATTCGTGAAGCGTTTGTCATGCGCATTGTGTCGGGATTAACATCTTAACTCATGGCATGTATATTTTTCACTCTTTTCAGTATAAATAATAGCAGTGAATAATATTTCTGCCCGTGTAACATAACCAGTGGCTCAACATAATGCTCCCGAAAGTACGTGAGTGTCGTCACGATCACGTTGATATGAGGGAGGCGAGCGCACATCAGAGTCGAGTATATGGGCCTGTGGAGAGAATGAGTGAAAGTGAGATAATATTCAGAGCGTTCTTTACATACATTAGTTGAGCCATGACTGATGTGACCATGAAGCGCAACGCCGTGACGCAAGCATGCAACGACTGCGTCAATACAACGCATCTATTGTTGCTGCTTGCCAAATGCAATAGCCGTAAATAAAGGTGGAAGCGGTGAGCAGTTATCACCGCGCTGCGTTCATCAAAAGATGCGCCTGAGTGAGGCAATTGCTGCTCCCTGACGATCCTGAAATTCGTGTTGCTGACGTTTGCTGCACCCGAGTAAAAGTTAATGCAATATATGGGATTAAGTAGAATAGATTGTGAGGTAACACATATTACACAAAAACCTGCTGATTTAATGAGAATGCGAAAAAAAACTTCGTTTACTTCTATGAGGATGCAAAAAAACTTCGTTTACTTTATTTTCATGCCTTCCATTCATTTCATGTTGGATGATCGTGCACAAATGGATTAAGGAGCTGGTGCCTAGAAATTAAAATTTTGCCATTAATTCCCCTTTATTGGTATTCCGTAATATACCTGCATATGCGAAATGAAGATAGAGCTCGTCGTCATGGTATTCAAAATACAACACAATTGAGTGATGCGGAACATTGGGTAAATCCAACGTCCGTAAATTCAACGCAAGGACTGAGCCATGAAGCGATGTTTATTTGATGTCATGATCGGTATGATATGATATCATTTTCATTTTTATGCAACGTCCAACAACTTACTGAAAGGGTTTTTATTAGCTAGCTACTTAAATAAAAACTTCATATACATGATTTATTGCTGCTGATCCCATTAAATCACGAAGGGTCTATTAATGAGAAGATTACTTACATTTCCATCTACAGCGACGAAACACGATTGAAACGAAACATAAATACTTGCAAGAGCTCTAGTCGGAGTTATGACTACAGTTAATACGAGAACTATATTAAGAAAATAAAATTTACAGCAGTTACTCGCTGCGTTTACAAATGTTCTAATCACGTGCTGCCTCATTCTCACGAACGATTTGTCTTCTGAATTCTGAAGGTAACTGTCCTTACCAGACCGTTCGATGAGAAGAGCACTGACGGTGGTTAAGATTAATGTTTATTTTTGAATTTCATTACCAACGCAACTTCTTTCTTGAAAATTGTGCGTTACATTGTCCATACGCTTGCATTCCTTCATTAAAATTAATCGGTTTTCACTTTGGTAGTTTCTTCCACAGTCACAGATGGTCAGAGCATATGCTCTATAAAATCTAGTCACATGGAACCTTTTATTCAAAGGTTACTATCACAGCGTTTATTGTTGTGCAGGAGTTCATGGGCCCAGATGCTGATGGGACAAACACCGATGTCGAAGGCCATCGAGGTGGGCAGACGCGGCTCGTCCTGCCAGCAGCAGTACTCCAAGTGCCCCTTCTCACTCACGTCCGTCCTCAAGTTCCTCGCCAACTACGCGAATTTCTCAAAATAAAATACGATCATTCACCAATGCGGTCGAGAGAGAAAAAATATGATTGTTTTTCGAACTGAATTCCAAGTTGTACGTTGATACGGGCCTTAGCTTTGAAATTGTGATTTGCATTGGGTGCGCTACGCACGCACTTTTAAAATTAAACTTTCCATTTTCCATTTGGCGAACGTATTGATACATGCTGAAAATGCAATGCCTAAAGTAAATTGCAAATTAATGTCAGTTATTGCAGTGGGAACCAAACTGAAGAATTTCTACGTGATCGTGGATGCAAGAAAACTGAACTGATGGACCACGAATTAAAAACAAGAAAATCGTCAAGTAAATTCCTCACACACTGAAAACGTTTTCAATAATAATATAATGAATTTAATTGGAGTGGTCGTTGTTCTCAAATTTTAGATCCATTTGTGGTTTCCGTAATCTAATTATATAAATACTCGAAATGATAAAGCTGTATTGAATGTGAACATAGTTAGTTCGTATTCAATTGATTGTGAGTTTAATCAGTTAGAGTCGAGCAGAATCGAGCGGGAAATCTTGATACAGAAATATTCATCTTTCTGTCGAGAACACGGTCTAGTCGTTTAAACGCGAATTTGCGTAGCAAACGATTAAAGTTGAATCAATTAACATCTACTTGGAAGATAATGTTTTACCATTAATCGATGTATCTTCGTAGATAAATCCCACACAACCCCAGCTTATGCAAGTCGTTTTTCAGTGTGTGCATGTGCAATGTATTAGATGGGCTGGATTAGCATGGAACCCTATTTCATTAGCTTCAGTTCAAATTTTTATGTATAATAATTTTTGTTTATTAAAATTGAGAGCTTAATACATAAGTCCAGTTATTTTCCTTGGCATACTTCGTATAATGTATCGCTGTAACTGCTTGATTAGCAATGAGATATCCTCACAGGTAGCCAAGAATCGGGAAATTGTCTACCGCTGTCGCCGCTCGACTAACCCAGACTTTCACAATTATGTATAAAAGAACAGCTGAGAGAACATTATCTCATTTATTGTCATCGATTTAATGCATCCCTTAGTATATGGTGAAACGCACTAAAAATATATATTATGGTGAAAAAAATATAATATAAATGGCAAATTCTGCAGAGTTTTCATGACAATAGACAAAATAAATGACTTTGTAGTGAATTTAGTAAACGTATGTGTATGGGTTGAGAAAAATCTCATACACATGCTTATGTTTCTCAGACTTGGCCGTAACCCTTATTCAATCAGCTGATTGACCAATACTGTTTTCGACATCAGCGTGCTGTCGCTATTGACTCTAACTATGATTTCTAGAGCAAATGATTTCATGCGAATGATGCGATTGTTTGATGCTTCATGGAAATGTGGTTTGAATAAATCATATGTGACGGAACTGCAACTATCACTATGGCCTTGAGCTTCTCGCTAGCAACTTCATCTGACGTGACCTTGAAACATTGTTGTTGCCCGAGCCGCGTGGTTGGAGAATATATCTCCATTGTCGGCAAACTGTAGCTGCAGCCGTGAGCAGCTAGCCAGTTGGTGGCCGTAGGTTCTAAAGTGAGTGTCAAGTTGCCAGAGTTCACATTATCACAATTTGCATCTTCGGCGTTGGCGAAGAAAGGTGAAAAAACTATGAAAACGTTCTATTCATTTGAAATGCTGTTGCCCTATTAAGTCGTTCATGAGTCGGGTACTCGAATAGAAGTATTAAGTTTTAATGTAAGAAGCCGGCGGTAGACTTGTCCTGCAGCTGCACCTGCAAGTTACTGCTGAAGCTTGTCAAACTTAACCTAATCATATCTTTCGAACATTGTATCCTACCATCAATGCCGATAACGTCGTCACAACACCGACTATTAATAGAAACGATTTATTTTATACACAAAACTAAACCACATCTTTCCAGGGCGATCAAAAATGCTCTGCAGCCATCAAGTGGTTATGGAGCCCCACAAATCGTAGTTCTAACTAGTATTGTACGATTTTTAGAAATACGTGGCGAGATATCTAAAGTTTGCTGAGTGGCGACGGGCGACATGTGCGTCATTGAAGGTAGTTTGAGCGCTTGAAATTTTACATTTACTCTGGATACTGTAGTCAGTGTAGTGCATTCGGGAAGGCTTTGCAGAGCATGATTTTTAGTAGCAGCAATCGGGTTTTTACTGTGGATCCAATATTTCGGCGGGTTCGGCCAACATGTACTTAGAACTTAGGAGCATACCCGTTGTTTGAAGAGTAATGATTGCTTTAGACCTGACTTATTGAAACGTTATGACTTTATTTAGCTGATAGGTATCCATTACCAAATTATTACGTACCGGTACCTCCAATGTTGAATAAAGTAACAATAACGGAAACCCATCTTACAGTACTTATGTTGACGAAATTTTCTGTTATTTCGCGCTGAATTGACTTTATTAAATATATCGCTGCCCACTGGTGAAACGCTTATTGTTAGTACATATAATTCTTTTGCTATGTATTAAGCGCGTAATTACGCAAGATAAAACCGCAGAGAAGAAGGCTTTGGATGGATTTCATTTACTTTTATACCATATTTTCATGTCTTCTGTTTTGGTCCAGCTAGTCTCAATTGAACATGCATCTCAGTTCTCATCATTCATTCATTGAATGACTTCACTCGACGGCTAAATTGCATTCCCTCGTTTGATTGCATCCTACGATAGTATTAAAGGAACGTCTCTAGTTTTTATTGCAAACCGGCACATGACGAGTGAATGAATGATTATTGAACAGTAGGAAAGGCGCCACAAATCATTGGCTTTAAAGATCGACTGAATATAAATTTGTGAGCAGAACGTCGGCCGCCATATTTTCCAGCGACATCTTCTTTAAGGAAGGCGTAAATAGCTCGGTATTCCGAAACAATAAATAAATAAATAATGCCAATCCTTTTCGCACAAATAAAAATTTATGCCGAGTTGAAGAGTTTGCCTAACTTGCTAGGTTTAGGTTATTGAGATAATGAAAAGACGTATGCATGCTCTTCATTCAGCCTTTAATCCATGGTCAGGGTGGCCCAGTGGTTACAGTAATCCTAGTACCAAGCAAGATAGGAGCAGAGAGGTGCGGGTTCGATCTCTGCATTGAACGCCAGTTTTTGGTCAGATTCGGCGAAAAGGCAAGACGGTTGAGCAAAGAAAAATTGTAACCGTGAGTTGCGTGTTCCAGACCGCTACATGCCGTGAATGTTTGCGATGTTAAGAATCCGCGACAGGCCTACGGCCTAATAAACGCTGAAACCGCTAGATTGTTATTATTATATTAAATCCATAATAGACGAGTATTCATTGTTAAAAGTTTAAATGTAATTACACAATAATAAACATACTAGTCTAATTCATTTTGGTCGTGAAAATAATACGGTTATTCCTACGCTTCTTATTCCTACGCTCCTACTACGGAATACTTTGAAGTTGGTGTTCACCTTTGAACATGAATTTCATTTACCGTTACTTTCTAATCACTAAGAATGTACTTCAATACTAATACACTAAACCTAGACGCACCCGAGTCATTTGCATGTGAGAATCAAACCTGTGTAGAGATCTTCCTATGAACGTTTGTTGTGACCAATATTGACCTACCGTTAATAATGGGTTGGGTGACCACACTAACTTACACTCTTCATTGTTTTCAGCGATTATTACCTAACCTAGTCCAAGTTATTTATTTTACTATCCTTTTCTTGCGGACAAACCTCTCATATTTGATAGTCGGACTACGTTTCACAGCAAGCGGCCTGTTTCGTTCTTCAGATGGCTTATTTACCACGAGATGGCGGTGGCTGCTGGGCAGAAGAGGACGACACTTTCTCGATATTTGAATCCGTCACCAATTTCCTGCTCCGGAACAAAGTTTACGTTGCGGCTGCCGTGGGCGTCGTGGGGGCGGTGAAAATCTACAGGGTCGTCAGAAAGCGGAGACTGAGGTGAGGGGGGGGGCAGGGTTCGATAGAAGAGCAAATTATCCCGAATTTTTTATCCTTATCATTGTTGATTAAATTATACGACTAGAAGCTAAGTTTAAATCGCAGCTGAATACGGCGACCCTGAGAAATTCATAAAAATTTCGTCTTTTTATGGCGAGTATAGATGAACACTTCAGATGTATTATCGTTTAATACGCCCGATTAACATGTTTGTTATTTACAAAAATAATTAAATTTGTTGAATATCGCCGCCTCTCTTATAAGAGTTTCCACAATCAACACAAATTCGACAATATATTGTAGACTATAGTCGTTTCTTTTCTTGAAATTGGATTGATACTAGTTTGATAATTTAAATTTGTGTATTGATAGAAGTTCTTTACCTGTACTGTTTTTGATAATTAAAGTTTGAAGGAAGCTTGGAAGGAATGCAAATAAGAGTACGACAGCTAGCCTACTAACAACGCAAATAGGTACCGCGGAGCTCTGGGAGTGCGGGTTCCACAGAGCGGTGAGAAAGTTTCCCTACAGAGCGATGAGAAAGTGTCCCTACAGAGCGGTGAAAAAGTGTCCCACAGAGCGGTGACAAAGTGTCCCTACAGGCTACAGAGCGGTGACAAAGTGTCCCTACAGAGCGGTGAGAAAGTGTCCCTACAGAGCGGTGAGAAGGTTTCCCTGCAGAGCGGTGAGAAAGTGTCCCTACAGAGCGGTGAGAAAGTGTCCCTACAGAGCGGTGAGAAAGTGTCCCTACAGAGCGGTGAGAAAGTTTCCCTACAGAGCGGTGAGAAAGTGTCCCTACAGAGCGGTGAGAAAATGTTTCACAGGATGCGAGAAAGTTTTCCACACGTTGTGAGAAAGTCTTCCACTGAATGTGAAAAAGTGTTCCGCAGAATGTGAGAAAGTGTCCCACACAATGAGAGAAAATGTTCCACAGAATGTGCGAAAATGTTCCACAGAAAGTGAGAAAGTGTTCCACAGAACGTGAGAAAGTGTTCCACAGAACGTGAGAAAGTGTCCCAACAGGGCGGTCTGGGAGTCGCTGGGTCCCAATGTTGTAGTTCACCACACGATCCTGCCTGGCGAGGTGTGCCCCAGCATCACGCCGTTCGCTGTAAAGCTCGAGTCTTTCTTCAGACTCGCCAAAATTGACTACAAGGTTAGCAACAATTCATGTATTGTACTACTTTTAAATACCTAGTTATATTTATTGTTTGCTGATGAGGTTTTTCCGACACCTTTTTTAATGTACTCGATTACATATGAATTGGTGGTAAATTTACTCGAACTATTAAGGCCGAAAATTAGGCCTGACGTTTGTCCCCAGGGTTATTTAGCATTTAAGAAAATTTCTGGCGTTGATTTAACATTGAAAAATTAGATCATAAAACTTCAATATGCCAAGTGTGCTTCTGGTATCTTCGGTTCACCGGGAGCTGTAATTTCATGAAATTGTTTGATGTTATTTCAAGTCCCCAGAGGCAGACAACCCATCTAAAATCAAAATTATAAAAACATTTCCCCCTTCTTAATTTTGTTCAGAATGACTATGAGGAGCCCATGGGCCCCAAGAACAAAGTTCCGTGGATCACCATCAACGGGGAAGATATTTCGGACTCTGAGATCATTATTGACAGGTTGCAACAAATGTTCAACATACATCCGGACGCCAACGTGCCGCCTAAAGATAACGCCGTTGCGACTGCCATGAGGATCATGTTGGAGGAGCACTTTTACTGGTCAGAAATTCTTTGTAGACGTGTTCTGTTGCCTACATATTTGTAAGTTGTAGTTGAACTAATTCAAGTTAATTAGTGTTTACATATATATAGGCCCAGTGGTTGCAGTTCACAGAGTACCAAGATTGGCGCAGAGAGGTGCGGGTTCGATCCCAGCTCTGTGCGCCAGTTTCTGGTCAGAATCGGCGAGAGGCCGGGCGCCAGCAGAATTTGGAGCAGTGAGTTGTGAGTTTGAGACCGCAACAAGCTGTGAATGTTCTGCGATTTTAAGAAACGGCGACAGGCCTACGGCCTAATAAACGCTGAAACCGCTATGCTATGAAAACAATTCAAATCTTGATAACATTATTGAACTCAATATATAGATGAAGATCTTGGCTGTGAATATGTCATGGTCGTTAAAACACTTAAAAGTATGCTTCTGTACAGGGGTCTGATATCATGGCGATACGATGAAGATGCAATGAACGGTCTGTTCCAAGTATTCAAACTGCCGCTACTGTACCGACTTCTCTTCAAGTCATGCCGAGGTAAAATGCAACGAATGCTCTACGATCAAGGCACTGGACGGCACTCGTTTGAAGAGGTGCACTCGTTCATGAAGAAAGATCTGGAGGCGCTATCTGTATACATCGGTAAGCCACTTCTTGATATGCGCCCATATTACAGATACTAATTCTTAACTCTGATCAATTAATTGGGCAGCTACTCGCTCGAGTTTTTTTTCATAATTGGAGTTAATGGTAATTGTTGTTATGCCATGCCGTCAGCTAAAGTTTTTCCTGCACCTGCAGGAGATAAAAAGTTCTTCCATGGCGATAACATCCACGTGGTGGACTGCGCCATCTTCGGAGCTCTCACTCAGATCGTCTACAACAGTCCCGGCAGTCCCTACACAAGATTACTCAAAGGTAACTCTTCTATTTATTATTATAGAAATGAACATTGAAAACAAAATGCTCATTGTTTTTAAAGACCATTTGAGTTGTCATTGAAGTTCATTCTTGGATCACATTTCTTACTTACAATTCCTCGATTATTGAGCTCCTGAATCTTTGACTTCCGTTCAGACTTTGACTCGTGTCTCTGAAGTGTTCTACCAGACAAACCTTGACTGGAACCACATATTGTTAGACTATTCCTGGTCCGTGGAGTGTATACTTGAGTTATTATTACAACACTTCTCTTTAGCTTCACTTCTTGTTTGTCTGTCTGTCTGCTACAAATCTCATAATCGGTATTTAACACACTTCTACCTGTCCAATCGATTTGAAATTTGGCACATTTGCGTAAAGTTGGAGACAATGCATGAATCAGTTGACAGAATAAATAATTTTATAAATTAAAAAAAAATTTTTTTCAATATAAAAAAAAATTTAAAAAATAATTTCGTCTCCTACAAATCTTATAATCCATATATGACACAATTTGATAAAGGTAACTCTTCTATTTATTATTATAGAAATGAACATTGAAAACAAAATGCTCAATGTTTTTAAAGACCATTTGAGTTGTCATTGAAGTTCATTCTTGGATCACATTTCTTACTTACAATTCCTCGATTATTGAGCTCCTGAATCTTTGACTTCCGTTCAGACTTTGACTCGTGTCTCTGAAGTGTTCTACCAGACAAACCTTGACTGGAACCACATATTGTTAGACTATTCCTGGTCCGTGGAGTGTATACTTGAGTTATTTTTGGTATGTAATTAATAATGTTTTACATTGGTACTAGTTCCCATCGCCCTTCCCAAGTTCATGCGATTTCAAGTTTTCTCAGTTATTCCTCACAGAGCATGAATTTATTATCACGGTTTACCTTTTTATAGCCAAGCTCTATATGTTGTCGAGAAGAAATACAATTAACATTAAAGCTTTGAAAACGATCTTCTGAAAGCAGAAAATGTAATTGCGGAATAATTAGGCTGGTTTTGGGAGAAATTGTCAGCCAATCGTTACAAATGTAAACAATATATGGTTAAAATTGTTACGTTCTCTGCTGCATCGGATTCGTACATTCTGATTCTACACTGCACATGAGTGTTGGCGTAAGTTCCTGGAAAGGGTTCTCGGTGAGTTGTCTGCGTCTGAGAACTCGTTGATCTTTTACTAGTAATGTAATGTACTGTTCATGTCGGCCCACAGATAAATACTCCAACCTTCTGGCCTACACGGAGCGCGTCAAGCAGCGTCTTTGGCCGGATTGGGACGAATATCTTGTAAAGAAATGAAGTCTTGTTCATATTTCCAGCGGAATAAGAAGGGTACTCGAGTTAAATATTATGGTTTAAAGTTCATTTACTGAACACATATTAACGAAGGCGAGCTATAAATCCTGATCCTCCGCAATTTTTGCTACAATAATAAGCCTATTTTTAGTTTCTTAAGTAATTTTGATCGAATAATAAATGAAAAGATATAAACGAGCAGTGTATCACTCAAGAGAGCTTTCAGTAAAAGATCAAATTGGTCAACAATTTAGCGCCTGCTTCTCCATGAAGATTTAATTGGCAGTTGCAAGTCAGGCTCTGAACTTCTCACATAATGATGAAATGTAGTTAATTATGGTTAATCACTGGTAATTCGCTCGACTATCGGCGCCGTGGAAATTTGGAGAGGAACTGTGAAAATTAACACGAACAACTTTAATACGTCTCGATTGAACAAAAACAAATTCGAAGCATTCACTGAAATTCTGTGATAACAAAACTATTCTTGAACAGACAACTTGAATAAACGTGCAAGTGGCTAAATTCTTACACACTATTTCAAAAATGACTTGATTAAGCTGCCGTATGAGAGAAGGATGATAAAAGTGAGGAAGGTGAAAAGCAGAGAGGATGATGATACGAGTGAGGTCCTGAGGAGTGGAGGGTCGAGAGAGTTGAGGGTGGGAATGCAAAGGTGTCCGTGCCGAACGTTCTGTTTTTCTTTTAGGATGTTGACACGCACAATGTTTTAGTCTTTTAGGATTGTTGTGCATACTTGTTAATTGAACTTTGTGTTAACTGCCGAGTGCGACATGAATTTTTAATTTTTTGACGCTAGTAACAGAGCGTTTTATGCAGCGTGAATGACCGATTTAAAGGTCTTGACTGGAGGTCAGCACGCACCCAATTCCATGAATTGGCGCGCGCAGTGAGCTGGTAGGCAATTCCGCCCCTTGCTCGGTAGGGGAAAATCGTTCCATCACTTCATGGCACTTACTTCATTTCAAATGACTTCATTTAAGTTTAGACACCTTTTTTTCAACAAGCATCTCCACACAAGCTCCTCAAATTGATAGAATACAGCTATCGGTATGCTCACGAGTTTTAGCAATTGTAATATGATTTCACTAGCTTAACCTTACCTTGATTAGACAAGTCATCGCTTCTTGTAAGAATTGAAGTGCAGCGAATGAAATAAATCTCGACAGCTCATATTAAGAATGGCTAATGTAGATTTTTAACAGCTGGAAAACACATAACTTGAATTTCAGCAAAAAAGTAAAGATTTTATCTGCCGTAATTTCAGACTACTCAAGCTGACTAAATTTCTTAGTTTATATGATTCTACTATACCTTGATTGCAGTTCTCAATAGAATCGTCACAATAATTTTTTCTAATTGATGAACTTTTGGGATTTATTTCCTCCTGCAATCTCTGGATGCATGACAATTGAAAAGACATTGGTAATTAAATTCATTTGTGCATTGATACAAATAAATTCGTTTAATTTATAACGAAAGTAATTTGTTAGCCTGTTAGGATCGCACGGTGATTTTTTTAGTTACGTAAGGTAACTTTGAAAGTCGTTTGCTGAAGCATGCCAATAAATATTAAAGTGAATCTATTTTGAATATTGGAATATTGGTCAGCTTATTGGATTAATAAATGAATAATGTAACAAAAATTAACTGGCGCAAAAGATATATTTTTACTAAATCCTTTAACCATACTTACGTTTTCAATCCGCAAGCAAGTGATCCCGCCTCCGTATCTTCGAGTTGTAAACGTTTATTTTCAGACGTCAACAAACCTCCAGGAAGAAAGCTTGTCATTGTGTTGATCAATGTCCACATGACTGAGTTTAGCGTAATGTTCTGAAGTGAGTAACTTAAATATTAATGGGCCATTACGATTGTGTATTATCAAATATTTACTCGAAATAATCACTGTTACTTTCAAAACTTTGAGACTGGGAAGGAAAAATTTTGACTAGTCTACCTGAATTATTTTACCACAAAATATGACTTTTACTGGTGCTGGTGGGGGTGGCCGGTGCCCGGTGGCTGGTGCCACTTACTGCAACATAAGGTAGAACTTAGACTGGTACGGTGAGGCTGAGCCAGAGCCTCAAAGCAGCGAGTTTTTTAGACTCTTTCTCAAGTTCAGTTTTGAGTCCTATAACTAGTGACCTAGTCTAAACACTCTAAAATAGTTGGGTATGTGAGGTCAGAGGTGACGTATGTCACCGGTCACCCTATACCTATTGGCCTATCCTATCACTATGTACAGTAATGTGCCTGAAAAAAATTTGTTTTTCTCTGATCAGTGATTGCAATGAAAATTATAAATCAGAAAAGAGAAAAAATCTAGAAAGTTACCATTAAAAATGAAAGTGGATTAGGGTAAACGCAGGATATTCCGACACATTAACCACTATGCAGAGGGTGGACCGTGGGTGCAGCGCGCCAATATATGGATTTTTAAGCCCAGCCCAAGCGTCGCCGGCCATTTTAAAGATGCGTGCATCATGCGTCGCCGGGTAATTTTTAATGAAAAGCCATTTACGCTGAGTCATAGTGGCAAACCAGAGCTTATTTAGAATCAGTTTATTATTTCCTCATTTACTCAAGATTTGAACCAATTTCTTAAGTATGATAATGCTGGTATCCAGGATACTTTACTGGTCTACTT